AAAAACCAAGTTTAGCAGCCAAGGGCTCTCCCTGCTAACTAATGCTCCCTCAGTACAGGTGCTACCCAAGAGGAAGAGAGAGGAGGTGGCAGGTACCCCTCCTCCCCTTGACTTGACTTTCAAAAGGAAACACATGGGTACCAATGGGGTCTCCCCACAGATCATCAGGGAAGGAAAGCTTAGAGTTAGGTTTCTGCACCCACATTTCCTACTGCTTCTAACAGAAAATCGCATTTTGACTCTTACTCTTGAGGTTCTACAGAGCAAGAAAGGGCCTTCTAATTCTGAGAAAACAGTCTCAGAATAAGAAGTGAGAGCAGAGGCTTGAGGCCCAAGAATGTGAGAAGGAGACTGCTGGTTCCTTATCACTCATCTAATTCGTCACCAGACCCGCTGCCCTTTTCACTTTCACCACGTTTTAAAAAGCTGGTGCTGTTGAGGGTTTCATTTTGAGAACTCAGAGGTCTGTGTACATCCTCCCCACCCCACATTTCAGATTTCAATATTACTGACTCAAGGAAAAATACATAATAAAAGACGGAAAATTCCCTAATTTTCTAATGGCCAGTCATAATAGCAAAGCAGTAGAGTGACTGCTTTTTTTGGTGGTACCTGCCAATTCAAAGACATGTTTCTGTGAGTCAAGTCCAAAGGGCTCATTTCAACCAGAGATTCAAACAGACAGCAGTTATTGAATGTCAATGTATGATAAGGAGAGGTAAAAAGAAAAAAAAATACTAGCCCTGATGTGGGGGAGTTTGCGTGAGTGTGTGGTATGTGTGTGGTATGTGTGTGTTGCAAGGAAGAGCAAGAATATTGAAATGCATACACAAAGTAACCTTTCACTTATGTTTTTTCTCCAACTGTAAGTAATTTCTTCTAATAAAAGCTGACGATATAAGGTAAAGAGAAATGACTGTGGGCTAAACAATGATACAGCCATTCAATAAAATATACCTAAAATCTTTTTTTTTTTTTTTTTTTTTTTGCGGTATGCGGGCCTCTCACTGCTGTGGCCTCTCCCGTTGCGGAGCACAGGCTCCGGACGCGCAGGCTCAGTGGCCATGGCTCACGGGTGCAGCCGCTCTGCGGCATGTGGGATCTTCCTGGACCGGGGCACGAACCCGTGTCCCCTGCATCGGCAGGTGGACTCTCAACCACTGCGCCACCAGGGAAGCCCAAAATATACCTAAAATCTTAACCAAATCTTTTACCTGCCTTTCCATCCATGTGATCTTGTGCCCAGATACTTCACTACTGCCCTGGTGTTCCTCCTAAAATACATAGTTCTAATTTTCTGGATTAATCAGAAATAGAGGTCACGGGGATAGGGCCCAGAAAGGGTTATAAGTTTGAGCTATATTTGAGTTGTACTAAGCAACTCTGGATTATTCTGGCTGTCAGCTACTACATGCCCCAGAACACAACTATATGCTTAAAGGTTGTTTAAGAGTTCTTTTCTCTAGTTAAGTCTTAAGCTAATGCCAACAGGAGTCCCTTTCCCAACAAGTAGAAGTGACAAGTCTTGTATCCAGGCTCTGCTTTATGGAATTATAGGGAGAAACAGGATCTGTTTTACACTGCTTAAAGCACCAATGGCATTTATAAGGAAATCCAGTCTAAGGAGTCACTTACCTGCAGAAATTGCAGTATTTTTTCACAGGCATTAAAAAAAAAAAAAAAAAAAAAAAAATCACCGGATTACTTCAAAAGGAAGCTCTACTGGGAAAATGCTTTGTAAGCTCTATGTGGCCAATGCCAACCTACGCTCCACTCGCACAGCTCCCTTGAGTCTGTTTCAGCCAGGAGAAGGAGTGCAGACCTCAGCCAACAGAAAGTCAGAAAGGCTGAGCTTCCAAGTGAGGATGTTCTCAAAGAGTTCTTCAATCTACCCTCCATGAGAGCGGGAAAAGGTCTGGAGGAGGATCAGGGAAGAATCTCCCATGTGTGGGCTTGTGTGGTGTGTGTAAATAGGGAGTCTGTGCTATGTTCACACTGTGGAGTTAAATAAAGCTCCTTGCAGGTTAGGATCAGAAAGACCTGTTTCACATTAGGCCAACGAGCACTAACAATGTTGGAAAACTGGTTTGTGGGGCCTGGTTTGTGGAGGGTGGAAGCAAAGTTCAAGGTCCCTGGCTTGAATTACTTGAGTGCCCCTACCCCCAATCTACGGATCCAGCAAAAGGCGGAAATGAGAGCTGGAAATCAGCCGCAAAAACTTTCACTGCTGCTCCCAGGCATTCTGGTTTGTTAAGACCATGACGAGAGACAGCAGTGTTATTTGCTCCTGAAGGGGAATTTTCTACCCTTCCCAGCAACTCTCAGAACTAGCAAAGAAATGCGCCTTCTGGCTTCCGATGCATGTGGTAGAAATAGGCTTGAGTAAGGAGAAGAAAGTTTTTAGCTGGTAGAAGACACAGAAGAGACTCCTGTTCTTCTATCTCTGCACACCCCATCCCAATCTGCCTAGTTGAGAATCTGCCTAATTGAAAAAAAGCCTAACAACTGGTGATGCCCATTTGAAAAACCCACTAACGGAAAGTTTGACTGGAACGTGGTCAAAACTAGACACTAGACTATCTCCCTAAGTTCTAGATAAGAAGGCCCAGGAGGCCACATTCCTTGCCTAATCTTCGGTTGCCTTTGAGAAGAGGAACCCATATGCAGAAAAAAGTACCCAAGGAAGTCACTTCAAAGGGAGGGCTAGGGTTCAGACTGAAAAGATCCATTCTCACGCCAGTTTATACTGACCTGTACCAGGTTTAATGGCAACTGGATTGACGGCAGAGATTTCCAAATTCGGTACAAGTTCATATCCTTTTTCTTGTTGTTTTCCTTTTCCTTCATGATATCGGCTATATATACCACGGCCAGCAGAATATCCCCCAAGGTAGGAACCCCTGGGCCCTGGGGCTCTGTTGCCAGCTGCACCTCGACCCCGGCCTCTTATGCTGCCTGCTTATAATAACAACACAAAACATGATGAGCTACCAATAGCAACAGTACAGGAGGCGGACCTTAGCTCAAGGTTCCTGGCACTTAGGTGTTTGCGCTGGCTCTTAGCTGCAGGTGGCTACACCTCTGCCCTTCAATGAGCCGGAAGATGCTTCACACCTTCTGTTCCAGCCTAGGTGCACCCTAAAATGTCTGCTTAATGCAAGAGATGAACTTGAAGGGTGAGTTCCTAGGACTGCAACTGCAACTCCAATAAATAAAAATGTTCACAGACTGTAACAAAGTTAGTTGTGGAAGGGGAACTGCTAGTCACCTTTCTCATTTTATGCATGAGAAAACAAGCCTCGGGAGGTTAGAGGGGCTGACTTAAGTCACAGAAGCAGTTAATCAGAGAACAGGACCCAGAGGCTAAGCATTCTGCTTCCCGGTGTAATGCCTGGTTTCATTACAGGCTAGCCAGTGACTACAAACAAAACAACCCCAACAAAAAACCCAACGACAACACTGTGCCCCCTAATCCCCAACATTCTAAAGATTTCATTTCACACGTAGTTTTTAACCTAAGAACCCAGAGCCTTGTGGACTAGCCCCACAGTAGGTAGGCCCTGGAAAGGCTGAGCGCCGGAAGGGCGTGCATGCGCCCATGATTCTACCACTCACCCCACACATACTAACGATCTGCATTTCTCTCAGTGCTGTAGAAGTGCATGCCTTAAGCGCCAGCAAAGAACAGAACCCAGAACCCACACCCAAACGAGGGTGGGTAAGGGGGTCGCCGTCCACCGGCTCGGTAAATGACAGCCACCACACCCCCGACGCCGCCCGCCCGGCAGACGCGGATCCCTGGGCCTACCCAGGCAAGGAGTCCCCACTAACCTTTCACGAAGTAGTCCCTGTTGGGCCCAATGAGCGCGTTGTAAGGGTAGCCATAGTAGGCCAGCGTGTAGGGGTCGCAGGAGTACACGTAGCTGGGCTGTTGCACCACTGCCGCCTCGGCTGCGCCGCCGCCCTTGGCTGCCTTCTGGTAGCGGGAGTACTGCTCCTTGTCCACGGGCTTGGCCAGCGTCACCTCGAGGCACGAGCCCTCCAGCTCGGTGCCGTTGAGGTTGTTCATGGCGTGCACGGCGTCCTCGCGGCTGGCAAAGTGCACGAAGGCGTAGTCGCGGATCTTCTTGACGCGCTCCACGCAGCCCGGGTTGAACTGGCCGAAGCTCTTTTTGATGGTGTCCTCGGTGGTCTCGATCATGAGGTTCCGCACGTAGAGGATCTTCACGGTCTCCATTACGTCCTCGTCCACGTCGATCTCAGGCTCGGCCCAGTCCACGGCGATCTGGTGGCCCCAAAGCTGGATGCGGCCGGGCATGAGCTTGCGGCGCGCCATGGCGGCGGCGCGGTGGCTCTCGTACTCGACGAAGGCAAAGCCGCGGTTCTTCATCTTGTCGGCCGCGCTGGCGTAGACGATCACGTCGAGCACGCCCTCCGTGACCTTGGCAATCTCCTCCAGGATCTCCTCGCGCTTCTTCATCTTGGGGATGCCGCCGATGAAGAGGCGGCAGTTGTCCACGCTGCAGCACACGCCGAGCAGGCGGCCGGGGCGGATCTCGTAGTTGTTGAGCTCACGCACGGCACGCTTGGCCTCGTGCTTGTGGCAGTACATGACGAAGGCGTAGCCGCGGTTCTTGCCGTCGAAGTCCATCATGAGGCGCAGCTCGTAGATGCGGCCCACTGCCTCGAACACGGGCACCAGCTCGTCCTCGTACACGTCGCGCGGGATCTTGCCCACGAAGACCTCGCAGCCGCGCTGCGGGTGCGGACCTTCCCAGCCGGGTGGCGGGCCGCCGTACTTGCGCTGCCCGTTCTCCTGCACCATGCTGTAGCCCGTGCGCTCCATCAGCGCCAGAAGCGCCGCCTCGTTGGGCGCGCCCGCCACGCCCTCGGGCACCTTGGCGGAGGACCCAGCGGCCGACTCGCTGCTCATGGCTGCGGTGGAATCCTCTGCGGTCATAATGTCAAAGGCATCCAAGCCCAGCGGAAACCTGGGGGAGGCAAAAGGGAGGGGGTGAGTGTGGAATCTTTACCGAGTTGAGTCAGAACTTGACTTTTTTTTTTTTTTCTTTCTTTCTTCTTCAAAGCCATACAAGACTCACGCTTAACTATCAGGGGGTTGAATGAGAAATAAGATGGAGACCGCTCTAGATATGCAGCAGCCCTAAAATTGTCTCAATTGGGCAAGGTGTTTTGCAGGAAAAACCAGAAGTGACTCGGGGAAAAAAAATCAGAATGAGCAAGTACTTCCGCTTAGTCAGTAACCCAATAGCTTTGAAGCATAGAGAACCTGCTGTCATTGTTGGGGAAAACTTCACGTTCTTGCAGCAGTTGGCAACATCTTTTGCTTAATTCCTGCACTGTCAAGTCAGACTGACTTCCTTTTAGTTACAGCATTTTACCCCCTTTATTTCGTTGACAGACAAAACCTCTTTGCTTTCTTTTTTAAGACAGCCTTTTTCATTTAGGAATGGAAGGAGGGCAATGTGTTTATATTGTTAAGGAAAAAACCGAGGAGGTGTTACTGAAGATACAGAGCTGTGTGTGGAAGCTTTTTACAAGGAAGAAATGGAACACCCACATTACCAAGGACTTGTCCTGGGAACTGTGCTAAGAGCTGGTAAGTCTGATTTTTACGGTGTTGTTCCCTATTAGCAAAATTCTTGGTATGAATCATTCATGGATTTGGAATCAGTGCACAAAGAGCTAGATTAAGTTCAGGCTGGGGGACTTCTGAAGCAGCAACAACCTGTTAAACTACACTATAGTTTTCAGAGAACTGTCCCATGCATTATCTTATTTGATCTTCTTAATCTCCTTTCATGGGAAGTGATATTATCATTAGTCCCAAATGTCTATGGGGAAATAGGCTCAGAGAGGTTGAGTAAATTGCTCATTTCACACAGCAAGTATCAGCTCATATCAGGACTTGATTTCAAGGCGTATGGCTCCAGATTCCATGTTCTTTCTTTGAAACCAGTGCTGAGCAACAGAACTTTCTGTGACGATGGAAAACCTGTCACTAGCCACTTGTGGCTACTGAATACTGGAGATGCGACTATTGCAGAATTTTTCATTTTACTTTAAAATTAAATAGCTACACCAGTGCAAGTCTAAATCATGCCACCTTCACTCCTATAGCATAGGGCTCATGGAAATGATTTTAAGTTATGCAGTGAGATTATCACTAGGAGCTTCGTATTTTGCGTTTGTAGAGAACAGCTCTGATTAGCTTTTTAAAAAATGAAGTTTAGTTCATTTTTTTGGTCTGTGATAGTATTCAAGTAAATTCTATGGAAATTAAGAAAAATAAGAAAAAAAGTTATTCCTAATTCTCCTACCCAGTGATAGCCACAATTAAACTTTCCCATCTTTCTTTCAATAGTTTCTTTTGGAGGGTGGGCGAGGTGGAGCTGGGCTTCCAATAAATTTACATCCTGCTGCTTTACTTCATTTTAAAAGCATTCTTCCACGCTCTTAAAACTGTGAAAACATAATTTATAATAGCTGAATAAGGTTTCATCATTCAACTAAATTTTTTCCATTTTTTATCATTTAAAAAAATTTACGAGGCCAGACACTATAAAACTCTTAGAGGGAAACATAGGCAGAACACTCTATGACATAAATCACAGCAAGATCCTTTTTGACCCACCTCCTAGAGAAACGGAAACAAAAATAAACAAATGGGACCTAATGAAACTTAACAGCTTTTGCACAGCAAAGGAAACTGTAAATAAGACGAACAGACAACCCTCAGAAAGGGGGGGGGGGGGGGGGAGAA